CGGGTTAGGATTCTCGTGGAAGGTTTCTTGTGGTCGGGCCCCTACTACAGAAGGGGTACCGCCCTGCCGCGCGGTGCAGTCAGGCGCTCGATGCAGTAGACACAACCAGTAATATGCAGGCATCTCAATTGTTACCCCGCAGGGTGCACCACATCTGGCGGTGTGCCAAGCCAGAGCAGTGCTTGAGGAACCCTGAGCAAGCTCAAGGATGTACCTCTGGCCATGTCGTTCCCTCTCCCCCCCCCGGTCCGCGCCGCGCAAGGTGCTGCGCCCCTGCGTCGGGGACCCCCGTGACGTGCAGGACGGCGGCCCCCATGGCAGCCATCGCTCCGAGGAGTTCGAGGCGCCGCGGCGGCTGGGCGCAGGGTCTACATTATACTTTTGGAGGGTCGGGGAAGAAGCTGGGGTGGTGCGGCGCATACTTTTTTCCTCGATGCCCTGGGGAAACAACGAAACACGTATACACCAGGGTCCCGTATACACCCGGATCCCCTCTCCGGTGCAAATTTCCATGCAGGGCCGGAAAGAGCGTCGGTGCATGGAGTTCGATTCCTTAACACATGCTCCGCGTGCGGATCATGTATTAGAATACAGGGATTTCGTATAAAAAACACAATGAGTTCATGCATAAATTTATTCGTGCATTAGCCATGTATTAAACATCCTGTATTTCTAGACATCCAATGTATTAAAATCTGCCCTGTAGGCAGGACGGGGCGCACGAACAGGGAGGTGGGGAAGGACGATGCAGGACTATGCAGGAAAAGCGGTTCCAAGCTCAACAGTGGAGACCCATGCCAAGAAACACCCTGCTTGCCTCCAGGGTGCCCTCGGTTTCCTGGATGTCGATGGTTTTGCGATGGAAGGCGTCACGCTGCCACACCAAAAATCAATGGGCGTCCGGGGGTCGAAGGGTTGGGTTTATTGTGGCAGGTTTCTTGTGGACAGGCCTCCGCTGTATGAGCACAGTAGCGCATTTGGCGGCGAGTGGCATCTCGGCGAGAGGATAAGCCCCTCGAATGGGGAGCGTCAGCTTTTCGGCTGACGCCCGAAAAGAACAACGCCGATCAGGTGGGGAGGGAGGAGGAGGAGCAGTGCGATGACGAGGGTGGAGCTTGAAGCACATCAACTAGCATAAACATGCGTTCTAGGAGCTCCGCGCGGCTTTGGAATCGGCGCTGGGCCCCCCTGGCAGCGCCCCGCGCGTCAGGAAGGGGGGGTGCAGCGCCGATCCGAGAAATACGCGTGGACCTCAGAGAAGGTATGTTGATGCAGTTGCTTTTGCTCATCTACCCGTACCTCCTCGCGCCGAGGTTTTCAGACGCTCTCGTCGATTATCGGAGGCTTTCTCGCCTCCGGGAGCTGTCCAGCAGCCGCACGTCGCCGAGAGCGCTCCGAGGCGCTGCGTCGTGATGTGCTCATTCTCTTCGCCAGTGCGCCGTCAAGGCGCGGCTCCTCCGTTCTTGCGTTCGCTGCCAACCCCCAGCGTGAACGTTCGCCCGATCCAGCGGAGGCCACGCGAGCGATTGGCATCTGGCCCTGGCCCTGGACGGTGGCGCTGCGCCCACGCTCTCTGGCTCGGCGGCAAGTGAGGGTGGGGGGGGCATTGAGAAGGAGTAGGCCTCCTCAGAAGGCGGCGGGACCTCTCAGAAGCCCTCGCGCCTTCTGAGAATTTTTTGTATGTCGTCCGGGAAAATAGAACTTCTCAGAAGGCCAGGGGGCTTCCGAGCCTTCTGAGCAAAGGCCTGCCCACCCTCTCACTTCCCCCCCTGGCTCGCCGCCGACTGGCGGGCGCCCAGCCTGGCGATGCCTGCGGCAGGGGATGGGCTTCGGGCGGGCCCAGCCTCCTGCCCCTCCTCTTCCTCCTCTTCCTCCTCCTCCTCCTCTTCCTCTTCCTTCTCCTCCTCCCCCTCCTCCTCCTCCTCCTCCTCCTCCTCCTCCTGCCCCTCCCCCTCCCCCTCCTCCCCCTCCTCCGCGACCAGGGTGAGGCACTCCAGATCGCTCGGCAGCGCCCTCGGCGCGTCCTGGGGCGCTCTGGAACGGCCGGGGCGCCCGGTGCGTGCGCCTGCCGGAGCCGCCAGGTCTCGGAGAGAGAGCCCCGACCCGTGCGGGTGCGGTGGTGCTTCTCGGTCGTGGCCGCGTCGAGTCATGGGGCTCGGCGGGCCGCGTCGCGCCCTCCAGCTTTTTCAGACGACGATCAGTGGAGAGGAAGCATGTTGCCAGGCAATTCCCAGATGTCTAGAACATGGTTAGAACATAGCTTAAGCCTTGAAAACATGTTATAAACCTTCTCAGATCTTTAAGACATGTCTACAACATGTCGTAGGCATGTAAAAGCATGTCTTCAGCCTTTCCGAACATGTTTCAACCATGTTATACCTCATGTATGTGGCATCCACAACTCCGGCTCCTCGCGCGCCCGCCCGGAGCCCGCAGCGCCTCCAACGTTTGCGGGCGGCCTGCTCGCACCTGCTCAGCCACGCTCGGGTTGACCCACAAGGGGGGTGCAGCTGCAAGGGGGCGGTGCCATAGATCTGGTGCAATGGACTTGTGGGCTGCGAAGCAGTAGGGGCCCACGCCGAACAACACCCTGCTCGCCTCCAGGGTGCCCTGGGTTTCTTGGGTCTCGATGGTGTTTGCGATAGAAAGCGTGACGCTACCACACCACACAGTCAACGTATATCTTGGCGTCTCAGGTATGGGTTTCTTGTGGAAGGTTTCTGGTGGAAGGTTTCTTGTGGTCGGGCCTCCACTGTAGATTTAGGGCGTGCGATACATTCTGGTGCGCAAATCTATTGCTGGACTTTCGCGTGCAATGCATTCGTTGCAAGACAATGCAATACGATTCCCCGGTGCAATGCATTTGCAACACAAGTGCCCCGAATCTATTGCACCACCCCCTTTCAGCTGGACCCCCTCTTGGGTCAACCAAAAGCGCGCAAGGGGGGCCGGGGGGGGCCAGGGCTTCTCAGAAGTAGGCACCCCTGCTTCTGAGAGGGCGCGGACCCTTCCTATCGATGCAGGGCCGCCGCCTCCTCAGAAGCAGCCTCCGTCTGAGAAGCCGTGCCCCCCCCCCCGCAACCCCTATGTGCGCGCCGCCGACTCGAGTTCCTCCAAGAAGTGGCAGCTCAAAAGAGCGGGGAAACTCAGGGATGCACCCGCGGTCTGGACACCGAGGCGCGATGTCACGCGGACGCGCGCTCCCCGGGATGCTCTCCGCGCGGGGCGTCCGCGCACAACGTTGGCAGCAGAGAAGGGCAGGCGGCGCGGCCGTGCGGACGAATGCGCTTCCCGCCCACGAGCCGTGTCGCTCGAGCCCTCGTCGGGCCCCCTTGAGATTGTTGTGGATCCTCTGGCACGCAATGGGCGTTACCCAGATCGTTACCACGTAGTGGTGACGATCGTACGAAGGGGCAGGGCTTGGACCCCCCCACCCAACATGCCGGTGCGCACGCGCACGCTATGGCGATTGCAGCGCCCCATAGCCCCGTCGTGCCCTACGGCCCCACCCCCTTCCAGGTAGTGACCGCATACCGGAGATAGTTCACAACAATCTCCTCGCCACCTGCCCTGCCCCTGCGCGGCGGAGGCGATGACGGGCAACCAGCGGGACGAGAGTCATCAAGGATGAAAGAATCCTTAACCTTGATATCACGATGAAGACGCAACCTCACTGAGGTTCCCGTTTTTGCACTCAAGATCAATATGGGCGGTTTGTTTCGATACATCTGCAGAAAAGACCCCCTATCCCTAATGTGTTCAGACCTCCTAGCCTAACTCAGGTCCTTTCAATGGGTTAGGGGTCCTTCCTGCTAATCAGAGATCATCGGCAATCGGGCGCCTTGATATGGGGGTCAATGCACGCGGGGGTCAGGCAGAGCGCCAGATCTTGCAGGATCCTGCCGGATCCGGCGCGCAGGATCCCACGGGATCTCGCACGCAGGAGTAGCGCGCAGGATCCTGCAGGATCTTGCACGATCCTGCGAAGCTTGACAGGCCCAGGTGTGCAATGATCTGGGTCAGTGCTAGGGAAACGAAGAATGACATAAACATAACGACTCGGAGGTTCGCGCGGATGTCTTGGATCCGCGCTGGGCCCCCCTCCCTGGCGCGCGGAGCGCACCGGGGCGGCGCCGGAGGCGCCGTCAGAGGGCACCGGCGCCGATCCGAGAAATCCGCGCGGACCTCCGAGCTTTTATGTCTCTGCCATTCTTCGTTCCCCTGAGTGCGTTCCCGAGGCAAGCAGCGCCGCGTCCTGGGCAGGAGTGCCCGCCGGGACGAGGAGGACCCGCCTCCGCCGGCGCCTCCGCCCCTGCCAACGGGCGTGCGCCGCCGCCTGCGAGCCGCGCAGCCCCCCCCCCCCCTCGTCGCTCACCGCGGCCGTGGGCGCCCGGGCCTCCCCAAGAGGTGCCGAGGTTCTGGATACTCGGCCAGATGGCCATGGGGGGCTCAGGACATGGGGGGATGATTATCCCGTGCCGTTTTGTTGGGGTGCAATTTGTACCTTCTCTGCGGGTTGCAAGTACAAATTGTACCTTCTCCCCCCCCGTTCACATCCTGGCACATGTCGCGGACGTTGTCAAAAGTACAATTTGTACCTTGTCTGCGTGGCGTCGGTACAAATTGTACCTTCTCCGTGGGGCGTAGGTACAATTTGTACCTCGGTTGCGCCTCTCTCCCCATCTGGACTTATCCCCCCATTTGCATCCCGCCAAGATACGAGGGCTCAGAGGAGGACAAGGTACCCATACACTTCTACCCTTCGCCCATTCTCCCCTTTTTGGGCCTCCTGGGAGACCCTCGTCGCCACCGCTGGATTCGCCTCGATATTCTAGTCAGAACGCACCCCGGGAGAGGTCCGGGGAGTAGCGGTATTGTTACCTTTTGGTTTCCTCAAGAGCCCCAAGATCGACCAGAACTGGACTAGGTACTACATGAAAGTGTATCTTCACCGTGGGTACCGATCTGGGCAGACTTCCGTGGCTTGGCATCAATCGCACGGGATCGCCATCAACTGTCAAGGCTTGACCCGGGTCTGGCTTGGCCCAGGTCAGTGAGTCCCCGAAGGGGGTCGCCACTATCGTCGTTCTCTTGCTCTTGCTCCTGCACTTGCCTCTGCTCATGTGAGTGCTTCTTCTCCTGAGATGTCCCTTCCCCTCTCACATCCATGGCGTCCTCTGCGCAGGCATTTTGTGGTTCCAGGCTCAGGAAGAGGCTGAGCCGCATCCGGGAGCCTGGCAGTCGGGCTTCGGGAAGCGATGGCGTGTGGCTGCTGCTGCAAAGTCAGTGTGCTGCTGAAGCTGTGGACATTGTCGGGTGTGGTCGTGGCGCTGCTGGCTGGTTTGTACGTCAAGGAGCTCGCCATCTTTCGGGAGAATCTGTCCGGCGTCCAGTGGGTGAATTGGATTGGCGAGTACGCGTGTGGTCCATCTATCGCCATAGAGCGGCCGAAGTCAACAGAGGAGCTCGTTTCCGCTGTCAAGAGATGGCCCTCGGTGCGTGCGGGGGCCACTGGCCACAGCTTCAATTTCATGGGTTGCCCTGCCAGCTCGAAGGGCGCAGTGGTGGACATGAGCGGGTTTGTTGACGTCAAGGTTGACTTGACGCCCTACAGCGGCAAGTACGGGAACGTCAAGTACTACATGACCGCAGAGGTGCCGAAGAAGAATACACATTTGCATAAATACGGATGTGTGTACATATATATATATATATATATACACTCACATACCTACACGACCACCCTTCGGGTGATAAGAAGGTTGTGTGGGGGGGAAGAGGGGGGGGGAACCAAGATCTGATTCAATCGATCTCACGATCGATCTCACTCACAACGGGACACCACAGGACACTTGTCGATCTCACTATCGATCTCACTTTTTGGGACACCACGAGACACAGCGGGACACCGCGGGACACCTCTCGATCTCACTATCGGTCTCACTATCGATCTCACTATCGATGTCACTCAGCGGGACACCACAGGACACCACGGGACACCTGGGGACACCACATCGATCTCTCTTTATCGATCTCATTATCGATCTCACCCAACGGGACACCACGGGACACCTCAGGACACCACATCGATCTCATCATCGATCTCACGATCGATCTCACATTTCGGGACACCACAGGACACCACGGGACACCTCGGGGCACCGCATCGATCGCATTATCGCTCTCACTATCGATCTCATTATCGATCTCACTCAGCGGGACACCATAGGACACCACGGGACACCTCGGGACACCAAATCGATCTCATTATCGATCTCATGATCGATCTCACCCAACGGGACACCACAGGACACCTTGGGACACCTGTCGATCTCACTATCGATCTCACGATCGATCCGACTCAGCAGGACACCACGGGACATCTCGGGGCACCACATCGATCTCACTATCGATATCACTATCGATATCACTATCGATCTCACTCAGCGGGACACCACGGGACACCGTGGGCACCACGGGACACCACGGGACACCGCGGGACACCTCTCGATCTCACTATCGCTCTCACTATCCATCTCCTTATCGATCTCACTCAGCGGGACACCATAGGACACCACGGGGCACCTCGGGACACCACATCGATCTCATTACTATCGATCTCACCCAGCGGGACACCACGTGACACCTCGGGACACCACATCGATCTCATTATCGATCTCACGATCGATCTCACTCAGCAGGACACCACGGGACACCTCGGGGCACCACATCGATCTCAGTATCGATCTCAGTATCGATATCACTCAACGGGACACCATGGGTCAACACGGGACACCTGTCGATCTCATTATCGATCTCTCTGCTGATCTCACTCAACGGGACACCACGGGACACTCGGGGCCCACATCGATCTTTCTTTATGGATCTCGCTATCGATCTCACGATCGATCTCAATCAACGGGACACTACGGGACACCACGGGTCACCACGGGACACCTTGGGACACCGCGGGCCACCAGCCGCCGGAGGAGAAACATTTGGTCCGGCCGCGGTCGAGCCACAGGAGGATTTCGGGACTCCGCGGGACACCGGCGGGACACCGCGGGCCACGGGCCGCCGGAGGAGAAACATCTGGTCCGGCCGCGGCCCAGCCACAGTGGGATTTCCTCTCGCCCGCCCACGCAGTTTCGCCTCGCCCGCACGCACGCACGCACGGCACGCACGACACGAACCCGAAACCGATCTCACCCCCCAACCACCGCACCGATATACACATATATACACATGTATGTATGTGTATATATATGTATATATAGGTATATATAGGTATACATATATATATATAGGTTATCGGGGGTCCGCTCCGATTTCTTGGATCAGCGCTGGGCCCCGTTGTTGGCGCCGCCCCTAGCGCGCTGGGTGCGCCAGGGAGGGAGGTCCAGTGCGGATCTAGGAATGTCGGCGTGGACCTCCGACAGTCTATGCTACTCCAGTTATTTTTTCTTCCCAGGCGGGCATCAAGATGGGCAACTTGCAGAACGCCCTCTTCGCACGAGGGCTGACCCTGCGCGTGCCTCCTGGGAACTCCGCCTACACCCTCGGCGGCTGCATCGCTACCGGCTGTCACAACCTCGGCCAGAGCCACGCCCAGGACTTGCTCGCGGTGACCTTTGTCATGCACAATGGCACTATTCGGGAGGTGTCTCCCCTCCTCGTCTTCCTCCTTCCCCTCCTTCCCCTCCTCCGCGCCCCATCCTCTTTCCCCTCCTCCTCTTTCTCCTTCGCTTGGAGTGCAACTCCTGCAAGGTAAGATTCAGCATCGGCGCTAGTATTTCGTGGTCGAAGTCAAGCCAAATCTGGCTTACTCCCGGCTAGTTTCACGCAGTCCCGCCTCATCCGGCTGGATATTGTTTAATAATGTGTTTTAGTATACAGCCCGATGTCCCTTGAATCTGGTTGATTTCATGTTGAACCGTTCTTGCGAAGCCTCTTGACTTCGCCCTCCGCTTCCTCCTCCTCGCCCCTCTCCGCTCCCTGCCTCTCGAGGTGACACGGCGGGACCCCGACTTCGACGCCGCCGCCGTCTCGCTGGGCCGCCTGGGCATCATCCTGAGCGCCACGCTGGAGGTGCAGCAGGAGGGGGGAGGAAAGGAGACGTAGAGGAGCGAGAGGAGCGAGAGGAGTGAGAGAATGTCAGCTGAGGACTGGGTTCCGATATCGCTACACTGCCCTCGCTCTCGGCTTCTGTGGGCCTCCTTGGGGGCCCGTGCCGCCACCCTGGATTCTCCTCAACATTCTGGTCAGACCGCACACTGGGAGAGGCCCGGGGAGTAGCGGTATCGGTATTTGTACAGTGCCGTTTTTTAATACATGCTCCGCGTGCGGATCATGTATTAAACATGCATGGATTTAGTATTAAAAACAACGATGAGTGCATGCAGAAATTGATCCATAAATTCGTCATGCATTAAAAGTCCAACATTTAACACAATCCAATGTATTAAAAACCGCCCTGTAGGTTTCCCCATGAACGTGCCCTGACATCCCCGCACCGTGGCGACGGGTTCAGGTTTGCCAATGTTCGGCCTCTTGGGGCCCTCATCAAGCCCAGGGGACGTCAGCACAAATTGTCCGTGCGGATTCCTTGGATCGGCGCTGTCCGTCCTCATTAGCGCGCGGAAATCAATCTGGCTGTTTTGCTGGTATAAGGTGGGAGGAGGAGGAGGAGGTGGAGGGTCAAGGGCGGAGGGAGAGGATCCGGGAGGGGAGGAGGGAGGGAGGGAGGGAGCAGGAGGAATATGACCCCAGAAGAGCCCTGCTGACCGCAGGCGGCCCTCCGTTGCGAGGTGCAGCCATCACGAGGGGGCGAGACCAAGGGCAGCGAGGAGAACGAGGAGGACGAGGACCACGACCACGAGGAGGGCGGCGGGGGTTGGAGGAGGCGGGTGCGGGAAGGCCCCGTGCAGCACATGTCCTCCTTCATCCTCTTCTCCCCCCCCCCCATCCACGCGTCCGAGCCCGGGCCTCGTGGGGACGGTGTGCATACATGTAGCATGAACGATGGGGCAGACACGCATCTAAATTGCACATCCCCAGGTCGGACCGATAGCCCCAGCCTCGGAAGCGTGATGGGTTCCACTTCTTTTCTAGGAAGTTGGATCCACGTGGTCGAAGCTAGGCCGTGCAGTCGACGTAGTGCAATGCATGTGGTGCAATGTGTGCAATCTATGTTGTGCACTCTCAGTGGAGCGTTATAAGTGCAGCAATCGATGTGGTGCAATCGTAGTGGTGCACTATGTTGCGAATGTATGTGGTGCACTCGACGTGGTGCCATCTGCGTGGTGGAATCTATGTTGTGAAAATTGTATGATGCATTGAATGTGGCTCGACCGACGTTATGCAATCTATGCTCTGCATGTGGTGACATATATGTTGAACACTGCGCAGATGATGGGCAGCGACGAGGCGGCGACTGGGCGGCGACGGTGAGCACTGAGCCGCCAGAACGCCAGCAAGGCCCCGACGACTGGTGGTGACGAGGCAGCAACGGGGCGGCGACGGCGAACACGGAGCCGCCAGACCGCCTTTCCGGCCCAGTTCGCAAGACAAGAGAAGAAGGAACCCCTGATTGCAAGCAATGTTTTGGCAAGAGCAGTTGGACTGTAGATCAATGAATTCCCAGGAAGGTTCCGAGATGTGTATGCAGGGCGTGCCAGTAGCTGGATACTAGTCCTGGCGACCGGCAGGTCGAACTGCGCAGGTGCGTGTGCACGCCAGAGACAGCTCTTGCAAAGAGGCGGCGCTGCAACAGGAGCTCGGTCGTCGTATGTTGCGAGGCTATGTATGTGGCTTGGAAAGGACGTGAAGCTTGGAAAGGACTGAGCCAAAGTCTTTCATTGCCGAACGGCGTGTCCTCCGCAGAAGGAGTGGCTGAGTGGCTTGAACGCCGGATGGAAGACGAAATGCCGTCTGGACATGAACAAGAGCATCACCTGACTCATGCAACACTGGTCGAACGAACGCACATGAGGCACGCAGCGGCAGTTTTGTTTACCTTTCCAGGCATATCGGACCCAGCTGGGATGGGAGGGTCAGTGAAGAAACGCCACATGGCAGTCATCATAAACGATGCTTATGTTTAACACGTAGATACGCAGATCCAAACATAATATCAAAGGTGCCCATACTTCTACGAGAATCCCCACAAACAGAAACAATACAGGGAGCACTCGCTGCTCTTCTGCAGAAGCATCAGCTCCCCACGTGGGACGAATTGGACAACGCCCTGAATCTCATGAGGCGTGGCAGCTGCAAAGACCCGTGCGGAGTGGTTGTGGGACACCTGACAACATCGCGCACCAATGTCCGCGATCCCGCTCTTGATCCCGTGGTCGTGTTCATAAAACGGATCCCGTACATGCAGCACATTGCACACCCATGCATGTGTTGCCAATCCTGTGCAAAGAATTCGCCCGTCTGTTGGGCGAGAGGCTCCAAAGCGCGATTGTTTTATCGCCATGCCCCGACCAGGCGCGTCGCCCGAAAAGGGCAGTAGAGACAGTTGGCGATTTATTCACAGAGACGCGAATCATTGAATGATAACCCATCGCTTTGGATTGCTCTCGTTGGTTTGGAAGAAGCGAGAATCACCGTAGAACAATCTGCGAGGTGGGAGGTTCTTCGAGCATCCAGTCGGCGTGGACTCCAACTACATTTCCCTGCTGCAAACACTGTGCTAAACCCAATCAGCCACGGTCTCGGCGGGAGGAGCGTCGAGTAGATTTGAATTGTTGACGCTTCGCGTATCCCCACCAGCCCATCCAGAAACGATGCTCAGGGGAGTTGAGGTGATCAGGGAAGTCGGGGAGCATGCAGAATAACAAAGGGGGGGGGAAGCTGTCACAGACCCCGAGAGGGGGAGGATGGAAGAGGAGTCGTCGTCGTCGTCGTCGTCGTCGGAGGAGGAGGAGGAGGAGGAGGAGGGGGAAGAGGAGGAGGAGGAGGAGGAGGAGGAGGACGGAGAAGGAGGAAGAATCGGAGGAGGAGGAGGAGGAGGGGAAGGAGCTTCTTGGGGGTCTTTTGAGGGCCTCTTGGAGGGCTTTTTGGGCGCCTTGGGGCATCTTGGGCGCCTCTTGGGACCCTCTTGAGGCGCTCTGGGGAGCCTTCGGGGCGCTTTTGGGGCCATCTTGGAGGGAGTCGATCAAACAAGAGGGGGGGTTTAATTAGCGTCCCCCCTCGGAAGCCCCTAAAATCGCCTCTTGGACCCCTCTTGGAACGCTCTTGGAGTGCTCTTGGGCGCTCTTGGGGCCGTCTTGGGGCTCTTTTGGGGCTCTCTTGGGGCCCTCTTGGGCCATCTTGGAGCCATCTCCAGGCCTCGGATGGCCATCGGAAGCGAAAAGGCGAGAAAGCAAAAATCATTGATTTTCCTTAGGTTTTGGGACGATTTTGGCCTCTTCGGGGCCTCCTTGGGGAGCTGTTTGGCCACTTGGAGTTATCTTGGGGCCGTCTTTGGGCTTCTTGGAACCATCTTAGGAGCCATCTCGAGCGATCTTGCGCTATCTTGAGCCATCTTGGAGCTCATCTTGGGTTCTCTGAGGCGCTCTTGGAGCCGTCTTGGGCCATCTGGGACGCTCTAACTACCCGCGGCCCCCCCCGTCCAGGTCCAGGGGAGGGGGTAGGGGGAGGGGTAAACCCCTCCCCAAGGGGGAAGAGGGAGGGGTGGAAGAGGATCTGCTCTAGACCACCTACGCCCAGAGGGCTGGTGGGATTCTCTCGCGGTGTGAAATTCGTAGACTCGATATCAGCATGACTATGCATAGTTGTGATGGAACTAGACATTCGCGCAGTACTGAAGGGATGGCACGGGCAGAGGTTCCTACGACCTCCACGAAAACAGGGCCTGACGACAGTGAGCATATCTCGAGGAGGCTTCAAGAGTTTGAATCCAAAAGGGTTCGGGACATTTGGGAACGCAGATTTCACTTTATGATTGCAGGAGACGGGACTTTCAAATAGATATGTCTTCTGTGGGGAGTCAGTTTGCCAAAGGTTTGGGTCGAGCCCGTTGAGGAAGCCCTTGCGCCTGTTCGAACGCGTTGCAAGGTCGGTCGCGCTCTGTCCGTGCGAGTGCTAGAATGCGACTATTGCGAGCATTACGGCCAGGGACATATGTAGCATTGCATGGAGACTGGTGTCTCGCTGCACGATTCGGAAGACAGAGGAGCATTGTTCCACTCTCCGTATCAGATGCTGGGTGTCCGCCCGAAGTGTTCGCAAGACGGCGCCCGCCGCCCGCGTCGTCTCGAAACCGACGGATGTTGAATTGGGCGCCGCGGCCCCGGACGGCAGCCAAGCGATCTGTCGGCGGACCTCGTTTGGGATGGGGGGACTCGCTCGCCAGATTCATCCTCCCTTGCCAAAGACATCTTTGCCCCTCCAGGGACCGGCCTGCTACAGGAGTTGGCGCGCAGATTCCTTATCCATGTCCTTCGGCACTTTCGGCAATTGGACAGGGGGGTGTTTACATCGAGTAGGGGATCGACTACAGAATTGTTTGTTGTAATTGTTTTGTTGTCTCGTCGAGTCCATGGAGACTTCGTCGAACCTTCGTAGATCTATGAACGCTGGACGCATTTTGTTGTATATCCCGCGTGGGGATACTTTTGTTGGGTGAATCTTTCCGTAGGAGAATCCATACTCGAACACACCGCTTCCAGGCCCCGGCTTGACATGACAAAGATCGGCGGGTGTGTAAGAGGCCTTGTCGCCAAGCTTCTCCAGCCGTCCTTGGAGGCGGCCGTCCCGCTTGGCCAGCCCGAGGGATACGCGGGGGACGATCGGCAGGATCGGAAAAGGATCCGAGGAGAAGGAGGACAATGAGAGAGGATCGAGGAAGAGGAGGGGGAGGAGGAAGAGGATGAGGAGGAGGAGGAGAGGAGGAGGAGGAGGAGGAGGAGGAGGAGGAGGAGGAGGAGGAGGAGGAGGGAAGGAGGAAGAGGAGGAGGGAGGACGAGGAGGACGACGATAACGAGGAGGAGGAGGAGGGCGTGGAGGAGGAGGACGAGGGGGACGAGGAGGACGACGAGAACGGGGAGGAGGAGGAGGAAGAGGAGTCCGAGGAGGAGGACGAGAGAGACGAGGGGGACGACGAGGAGGAGGAGGAGGAGGAGGAGGAGGACAGAAGATCAGGGGCAACGTCAGAGGAGGGATCGGGCTCGTTGCAGGGCGGGGCGCATCGACCCCCGGGCCACCTCCCTCGCCGCCGACAAAGAGGGGCCCCAGAGCCCACCCCGCCGCCCAGCCTCGCGCGGCTTCGCCCTCGGGGGCCGGAGCACCGTCGACCTGGCATCGCTCGGACGTGTGCACTTCTTCTCGGCGAGGGCCATCGAGGAGCACCCTTGCGGCGCCGACCGTGTGGGCAGGGTGTCCCGCTGCAGGGGTCGTTCGGCCGTCAGCGCCAGGGCGCCCAGCGCCGCAAGAGAAAATGCGCTGGCACACAAACTCTGCCATGTTTTGGTCACCCCTGAGCCGCCCCGAGGGCACTTTTAGAGTCCCTGCGGCGCGCGCGACCGTGCACGGCGCCTTTCGGTGCGTACTTTGCGCGGCGCCCGCGTTGAACCTTGATCATCTGGCGAAAAACCACGCACGTAACCGACAAAAAACACAGGGAATGGGCGTCCGAGCGACGGCCAGCGCACGTCCGAGCGATGGCCAGCGGTACGTCGCCGACTCCAAGCCGGAGGTTGCCCTTCAGTCGGGCGTGCCTTTCTACAGGAGGAGCAGATCCAAACATGGTCAAACCATAGTCCGGGGACGGTTTTTTGTTCTACCATGTTTGCATCTGTTTGAGCATTGTTTGACCATTTTCAAAATTTGTCGTCCCAAATCCGCCTGTAGGGGGACATGCCCGACCTAATGTTAACCCCGAAGCCGGTCCCCCCGTGTCGTTGCCCATCAGAGGAGGAGGAAGTAGCAAGCATGGGGGGGGAGAAACAGGACCAGAAAAGTTCTTGGTCACCCGCGGGGGTGCGAGGATTATCGCACTTCACGCGTTGCGCGCGTCGCGGCTTGAGCCAGAGCGCTTGTTTTTGTTGTCCAGAGGCGGTGGCATGAGGCCGCGAAGATAATCGCGCATCGCGCATCGCAGGGCGGGATGTGCGGACCTACGCAACGTAGAGCAGGGAGAGGTTGAGGATCTGCAGTGTCGCGATGGAGGAAATTTGGACGACGTTCGATAGCAGTTCGATCCGTTTTGATTGACGCCTATGTCGCGGGCGACTTCTAACTATTTGAGGGAACTTGCCGCCCTCCCAAAAGCGGCCGCTGCCGGTTTTTGATAGCATTTGTTGTCGGGCATCGTTCCTTTGTGTGCCGTCCGCATTTCGGACGTGCCACAAGGATGAGGGAAAGGAGGGGGGTTGAGTGAGGAGGGACGAGTGCGATGACGACACCGATGCCGAGAAGGTCTTGGGAGGATGGCGAGGAGAAGGAGGAAAAAACCTTCACGCTACTCTGGAGGTGCATCCGTACCGGTCACTGCTCTGGGAGGCGGAGCAGCTGGAGATGCCAGCGGTGCCGCAGATCCTTAAGACCTTGCAAAACATGACCAAACGCATGACGTCCCAGGAGACTGTTGGCAACAAGCTCGTGTTCTACCTTGCGACAAAGGTCATTACAGCGAAGCGGGAGGAGGAAGAGGAGGAGGAGGAGGGGAGGGATAAGAAGAGAGATCAGGAGAGGGTGGAGGATTACGAGAAGGCGAGGGAGAAGGAGGTACGAGGAGGACGAGGAGGAGGAGGAGAGGGAAGAGGGGAGGAACGAGGAGAGTAACGAAGAGGAGGAGAGGGAGGAGGGGAGGGACGAAGACGAGGAGAGGGACGAGGAAGACGAGGAGCAGGAGGCGGAGGAGGGTTACGAGAAGGACAAGTTGACCAGGTCGAGCGAGTCGAAGGGCCCCGCCCGTTCCCACTCCCTCCGCTCCCATGACACAGTGATATGTTGTGGCGCAGCCTGAACTGGCACGCGGACTCCTCTCCTCCTCCTCCTCCTCCTCCTCATTCTCCCTCCTCATTTTCCCCTCCTTCCTCTCCCCCTCCTCTCCCCCGTTCTCACCTGGCGGCCGGAAGGCGCTCGCGCGCGGTCCCGCTTCCGACACCTTGGCGAAAGGAGAACGACGCGGGCCGCGCAGGCGCGGCCAAGACGCAGCCTGCGCCGCGCCGCGCAGGCGAACCGCTCCCACCTTCCCTCACGAGCTGCGCGGCGGCCCGGCGAGGTCTGCATCTCGCCCGCTCCGGCGCGGCCCCGACACCGCTGCCGGGCACGTGCGCCTCGGTAGAAAGGATCCCCTCCTCTCCTCTCTCCTCTCTCCTCCTCCTCCTCCTCCTCCTCCTCCTCCTCCTCCTCCTCCTCCTCCTTCTCCACCTCCTCTCTCCTCTCCTCCTTTTCCTATATCCTCCTCCTCCTCCTCCTGCTCCTCCTCCACCTCCTCCTCCTCCTCTTCCTCCACCTCCTCTCTCCTCTCTCTCCTCCTCCTCCTCCTCCTTGCGCCCTGCCCGCGCGGGAGCATGCCACTCCCGCCCGCGGCGCGCGCCTGGAGCTCGGTCTCGAGGGCGAGAGGTCGCCGGCTCGCGCGAGGCGCGCCGCGCCACGCTCCGGCCACGCCGCGCAGTGGGCGCGGGGCGCGCCGCGCCCCGGCCCTGCCGCGCCGTCTGTGGCCCCGTCGGCCGGCGAGGGGCGCAGGGTGCACGGCACGCCGCGGCCCCTGGCCGCCACGCGCGCCGCGGGGCGGCGCGTCGCGCCCCCGCTTGGCATCGCTCGGGCGTGTGCATTTTTCCTTCGGCGAGGAGCTTCGAGGAGCGTCCTCGAGCATATGGCGAAAAAACCACGCACGACACCGAATAAACGCACGGGGAGTGGACGTCCGAGCGATGGCTAGCCCGTGCCTGCCACGGCCCTGGTCTTGCCTCGTCGGCGAGCAGCGCAGGCCAAGGCGTGCGCCGCGTCCCGCCCCAGCCGCGCAGCCTTCAAGCAGTGGCGGAGCGGTATAGCCCGACCGAAGAATGTTCTAAGAACCTTTCGTGGTTCCCACGAAACGTTCTCATAATATTTCTGGCCAGGACTGCCTCGTTTTCACACTTTGGGGACATGCTCTAAGAACATGGTTTTCGTTCTAAGAACATTATGGGGGTTCTAAGAACATTTCGTGGTAGGACTATAGACGTGCCGGGACGGTCGGTCCCTGCTCAAATCCTCGCACCGTCGGCCACGGAAGCGCAGTCCGCGACGTGTGCCGCGCCCCGCGTCTGCCGCGCGCTTTTGGCGTCTTTGCGGCCACGAGAGCCTCAGTGGACAGGAGCCACACGCGCCGAGCCCCAGTCGTGCTTTGCTCTGTGAACCGCTGACGAAAATGGCAGGGCGCGACGCGCGACGCGCCCCATGCACACCACGCGTTCTGCAGCCTTGGGTCAGAAGAAGCGTATATTCCCATCGTTTTTTATTCGTTTTTTACAACATGGTGCTTGCACGTACGGGCTCTGAACTTGTAGTCTAATGAACCCTGCCTGGGTGGCGGGGCGGCCTTGCGGCTACGTTCTCGTCGTCGTCGCCCCGTCGCCGCCTCGTCGCCGCCCGTCGTCTGGGCCTGGATGGCGGTTTGGCGCGGTTGTTGTCGCCGTCGCCGCCCGTCGCCGTCGTCCGTCGCCGCTGTTTCTGGGCCTGGGTGGTGGTCGCCGCGCTTGTCGTCGCCGTCGCTGCCGTCCGTCGCCGCAGTTTGCGAGCCCGGCTGGCGGTCGTCGCGCTTGTTGTCGCCGTCGCCGCCCGTCGCCGTTGTCCCATAGCTTATGCGACACGATTTCGAATGGATAGATCTGCGCCGTTAACGTTGCACCGCGTAGGGTGCACCACGTGGATTCGGCTACCTCTATGTTCTAAAAGAGCAATCTTATGACCCCCCCCCCTGACGTCACGGTCCCCCTTTGGCAATGCAAATTTCATACGATTTTGCCCCCCCGTTGTCCATCCGAAACATGAATGTATAGAATTCCAGGCTGGTCGGTACCCCCCACAACCCTCTGCAAAAAACACTATGCGCGCGCATTCGTTTCTCACAAGTCATCTGTGTTCCAGGGTCCCTTGCAACAGAAACGGAACGATGTGCACACGCGCGCCGTCGCGCGCGCATGCCGATATTCTTCAACAAACCTCAGGTTTCGTAAGGATTTCAACATCGAAGGTTCCGAAGAAATAAAACATACACTGTTCCGCGACATGGAAATCAAAAACAGTTTGTGTTCGTGTCTTTATGGATTTTGGAAGATAACTGTTGGTCCATATTTTCATGCCATGCTACCAAACGGGTCCCCCGCGCGCGCATGTCGGAATCGCTCGAACGCCATTGTGCGCGTGTTATCGCACGAACCCTTTTGCAAAGCGTGGAACCGAGTGCGCGCGCTCGCGTCGTCGAGCGCGCATGCCGAAGTCTTTCAACAACCTCAGGTTTCGTAGGGATGTCAAAATCAAGCATCCCGAAAATATATAAACAAGCACGCGGTTTTGCTACATCAGTTTTCACGCCTACACTCGCGCACCTGTGGATACTCTAGACGACCATCGGCATTCAACATGCTCAGTCAATTTTGCCAAGCGGGCCTCTCACGCCGCATGTCGACGTCATTCGAATGCCCTTGCGCGCGTGTTTGGGGGGGCACGATCCGCGTCAACTCATCCCGTGCGGGCCACTCTCGGGCAGCGGCCGCACGCGCATGTCGAGCTCCTTTCAAAAGCGTCATTACCGACGCGATGGCAACGCAATCTTCGTCGGCGTGATCAGCATCGGCGTCGTGACTGGCCTTGTCGTCTAAGTTGTTATCTGCGTCACCAGCACCGCTATCATCATTATCATCATCATCATCATCATCATCATCATCATCATCATCATCATCATCGCGTCTGCCGTTGTCGACGTTGCCATGATACGGTGGGGGCGTCGGTTAAGGAATGTGCACAGGAGGCGTCAGACCCTGGGAGCTTCCTTCCATGGCCAACCCACGATCGAAGTTCCACTGGCTTCGAGACCCTGGGTTCCTTCTCCATTGGTTCCTTGGCCAGTGCCCTCACCGTACCGCGCCCGCCCAAGTCGCCGACTCGCAATGAAGTGCCCGTTGGGACGTGCCCAGCGGTCAGCGACACCGCGCCCGCGTCGGTCGCGCCAAACCAGCTGGCCGCTTCGCGCGCGAGCATGCGCGGGCCAGCGCGGCCGCAAATGTGCACAAGCCAAAGCCAAGCACGCATCGCGATCGCCGCCGCATGGGTGTGCAACCCAAGTTGCGCGCCGGTGGGTGGGATGAGTGCGCAAGCAGTGGAGCGGACTGAAAAAATGCACCACATACGCTGCACCACATAGGTTGCACCACACAGATTGCACCACATATATTGCATTGCGCAGTACGCTGGAACTCACTGTTTGGGGTCCACGTTGGCTGACATTGTCAGGTAAGCAGGATGGGACCCCCTGGCGACTGGCCATCGGCCAGCTACGTGGCACAGCGGGGGCAGGGGGGGTACCGATCTATACATATGTGAATATCGTGTATATATGTATCGATATATAAATATGTGTGTTGCTTCCTGTATGTATGTGCCCAAGGTTTTGGCGTACCCCAAACCGTAGCGCATGTCCCCTCCAACCCCCGCCAGTGATATGCCCACCACCCGCCTCCCAAGAGAGGTAAAGATCGGTATTGCTGCTGTGCAGCCAGTACTCTGAGGCTAGTGGTCAGCCCCTGTGGGGACCCAAGTGTGCACTGTGTGTGTTGCACTGGGGTTTTGAAGGTTCATCCTCCTCAAGCTCCTCTTCCTCCGACTCCTCATCCTGACGATCCTGCTTCTCATCCCCCTCCCTCCCTCCCTCCATGCAGTGCGGGCGCGGCCACATGACACCGTCGCAGGAAACCCAGCCAGGAAAATCAACGACGTGTTTTGTCCATGGCCTGGGCGCTCGGCTCCTGGCTCCGAACGGAGAGAAACCCAGGGACCCCTGGCCCCAGGATTTACCTCGCGGTCCACGCCAAGAGAACAAACGCCAGCAGCGCCGCGGAAGAAACCCATGGCTGTCCACAAATTAGCCCGGCTAAGGACCAACCATATTCAATTCTGAGTACCGTCGTTGCACGCATTCGGAGGAGCTCCCTGTAGGGCCACGAAACGTGTGTGCCAAAAGTTGTCCTGTGGGCGCATGCGAAAGCAGCCACTGGGCCGTCGGTGGAATTCCCTATGGTGCCACGAAGCGCGTGAGAGATATTCCGAAATAGGTGCGGTGGGCGCATGCGCACGAATCCACTGGGGCCGTCGGTGGAGCTCCCAATGGTGCCGCGAAACGTGTGATGGGTGTGCCGAAATGGGCGCGGTGGGCGCATGCGAACGCAGCCACTGGCGCTCCGGTCGGTATGTATGTATGTATGTATGTATGTATGCATGCATGTATGTATGTATGTATGTATGTATGTATGTATGTATGTATGTATGTATGTATGTATGTATCAATGTATCTATGTATCTATGTATCTATGTATCTATGTATCTATGTATCTATGTATCTATGTATCTATGTATATGTGTATGTATGTATGTATGTATGCATGCATGCATGTATGTATGTATGTATGTCTGCCTGTCTGTCTGTCTGTATGTATGTCTGTCTGTCTGTCTGTCTGTCTGTATGTATGTATGTATGTATGTATGTATGTATGTATGTATGTATGTATGTCGAAAGATGGAATAAACATCTAAATGTATAGATATGTATGTATCTCTCTCTCTTCCCGTGCACGAGAACGGGGTTTCCGGGGCCCCGGCCTCAACAGCGCATGGGAGTTCCGGGGGTCCCGGACAACACGACAAGGCCTCCAACACGCCCCCAGGAGGCAGAAGACACGATCCAATATGCCCCAAATCATCCCCGCGAAGCCCACCACGACGCCAAAACATTCCACGTCGCCTTCCTTGCGGCCAGAAGCGCTTTCAGAATGCTCCGCGTCGTCCTCAAGAGGCTCCCGGGGAAGGCTCCCAGAGGCCACAATCAGTGATCTCCAAAAGGTGTTTTTGTTATTTGGGGGGATTTCCGTTTTTCGAACTCCGACGCTCACAGGCAACCCAGGCGCCCAAGAAAGCCCGAGAAGACCCCAAGAGGGCCCCAAGACTGTACAAAAGGGCTTCAACCAAGACGGCCCAAGAGGGCTCCTGAGAGAGCCCAAGAGGGCCTTATTGAAGCCTCCAGAGGGCTCCAAGAAGGCTTAAGAGGAGGACCGCGAGCCCAAAGTCCTAGCGTTCTGCCTCAAGGGGCTCCCGGGGAGGCCCACGAGGGCCCCAAGCAGCCCAAGAGAGTGCCCCCACGATCCCCCGAAACGAACACCAAGAGGCTTCACACTTGCATCCGAAAATCCCCCAGAGCAGCATCTCACGACATGCCGACGAATCTTCAAAAGGCCTGTGACCCCACCCCAACGACGTCCACGACGTCGTCGACGACGACGACGACGACGATTGAGAGGACGATGACGACAACGATTGAGAGGACGAGGACGAGAGCGACGACTGCTAAGACGACGATGACTACGACGAGTGCCACGAAAACGTGTCCTGCGAGCCAGCGCCGGGGTAGCCGTCAACACCTAGTTTAGCTCAATCGCCCAAAATAAACACCATGAAACTCACCTCCCAGGTGCCAGCGACGGGGCAGCCGTGATCCCCCAGAGAAGCTCGCGTTCAGGATGGGTATGGAAAAAACGTTGAACATACACCTCGAACCTCGATCGTCGAGCCTCGTTGAACGACGGATGCGACGACGACGACGCAGACCACGACGACGACGACGACGTCGTCGACGACGACGACGAAGGCGACGACGACGACGACGACGACGACTACGACAGCGAGGACGATGACGACTGCGACGATGACTACGACGAAAACCACGAAAACGTGTCCTACGAGCCAGCGCCTGGGTAGCCGTTGACCCCCCAGTTTAGCTCAATCGCCCAAAATGGAAACCGAGAAACTCACCTCCCAGGTGCCAGCGCCGTGGTAGCCGTGACCGCCCAGAGTCGCTCGCTTCCAAAATGGACATGTAAGGACAGTGAACATCCACCAAGAACCTCGGTCGTCGAGCCTCGTTGAACGACGGCTGCGACGACGACGACGACAACGGCGGCGGCGACGACGACGACGACGACGACGACTGGGAAGACGAAGACGATGACGATGACGTCAACGGCTACGCCGACCACTGCGAGAACGACGATGGCTAAGAGTGCCACGAAAGCGCGTCCTACGAGCCAGCGCCTGGGTAGCCGTTGACCCCCCAGTTTAGCTCAATCGCCCAGAATGGACACTGAGAAACTCACCTCCCAGGTGCCAGCGCCGGGGTAGCCGTGACCCCCCAGAGTAGCTCGCGTCCAGGACGGAATTGGGAAAACGGTGAGCATCCACATGGAATTTCGATTGTCAAGCCTCGTTGAACGACTGCTGCGACGAGGGCAACGACGACGGCGACGACGACGACCTGGAACCTCGATCGTCGAGCCTCGTTGAACGACGGCTGCGACGAGGACGATGACGACGACGACGACGACGACGACGACGACGACGACGACGACGACGACGACAGCGAGGACGATGACTACGACGAGTACCACGAAAACGTGTCCTACGAGCCAGCGCCAGGGTAGCGGGGACCCCCCATTCTAGCTCAATCGCCTAGAATGGAAACCGAGAAACACATCGGAGCCAGTGCTGGGGTATACGTGACCCACTATATTAGCTCGCGTCCAGATTGGAAACGGGAAGACGGTGAAAAACCACCTGGAACCTCGATCGTCGAGCCTTGTCGTCATCTTCCTCGCAGTCGTCGTCGCCGTCGTCGTCGTCGTCGTCATCGTCGTCGTCGTCGTCGTGGTCGCCGTCGTTCAACGAGGCTCGACGATCAAGATTGCAGGTTATTTTTCACCGTATTTTCACCCCCATCCTGGACGCGAGCTGCAGTGGTGGGTCACGGCTACCCCGGCGCAGGCTTTATGGGAGTTGTGTTTTCTCGGTTTCTTTTTTGGGCGATTGAGCTAAACTATTCGTTCACAGCGAGATTGCAACCTCGAACCTCCAGGATCGAGGCCTTCTAACATTCGGGGGCAGTCCTCGTCGCCGTGGCAAGCGTGACTAGAACCAGAGCGCGCGCGATGGTCGTTGTATACATATATGTATGTATGTGTGTATGGATAAATACATACATACATATATGTATATATACGAATATTCTCATACATACAAATATGTGCGCGTGTACGTAGCACCCCGCAGTTGCGGAGAATAGTGCGGGGGCGTCGGGGACGTCGCAGGCACTTCCTTTTTTACATATTACATCGAGGCCGCCGCGAGCGTTAGAGCAATGTGGGTGGGTCGCGGGGTGGGTCGCGGCTGGGTTGCGGGTGAGTCGCTGGCCAGATCGCGGGCCGGGTCGCGGGTGGGTCGCGGGCGGGTCGCGGGTAGGTCGCGGGTGGATCGCGGGTTGGTTGCCGGCGGGCTGCGGGGTGGGTCGCAGGTAGGTCGCGGGTGGGTCGCGGGATGGGTCGCTGGTGGGTCTCGGGCGGGTCGCGGGGGGGTCGCGGGAGGATCGCGGGCGGGTCACGGGCCGGGCCGCAGGGGGGACGACGACAACAAAACACAACAACCAACAAACATTACAACAACAATGCGCACCGCAAGAGCTCACTTCAGCCACGCGCCCAGGGGCAGTGAATGACCGTTCGGCCCCTTCGTTTCGACCAATTGGGGATGGGATGCGGGAGCTCCCTCCCCCTCTCTTGCCTCGTCCTGATCTCCTCTTCGTTGTCATCCCTCTCGCCCTTGTCGTCCTCATCCTCCTCTTCGTCTCTGCTCTTTCGCTTGCCTCTCCCCTTCGTCGTCCTCCTCGCCTTCCTCCCTGTCTGCTCCCAGCCGGCATTCTTCCGCTGTCCTGGCGTGCGCAGCAGAGGTCATGATGATGGAGCACTGGATCCCCACAGGCCGCGGTGCCGACGTAGAGGAGGCCGGGCAGCCGCTCAAGCCCTACCTCAACACGCAGCCCTTCCGCGTCGGGCAGGGGCCCGTCAGCAAGGCCCCACGTCGAGACAACGGTGGCTCCCTCCGCCCGGCCCAGTTCGGCTCAAAGTCGGTCCCCCGACCCTTCCTTCGAGGGCGGAAAAGAGGGGGGTGATGACAAGGGGGGGTGAATATCATGGCGGGGGCCATGATACTTCCCCAGATTTCATGGCGCCTCTTCTTGTTTCATTACGTCCCTGGCCCCCCCGCTGGGCCGCGCACATGCCGCCGGTCATGATTTCAACCCCCCCCTCTTGGACACCCCCCCTCTTGGCCGCTCCCGATGCCTGGGGCCCATCCTGACTCGTTGTTCACGGCGTTCCGACAGGGCAGACGATGCCAGGGAGGGCCGCCGTGGTCTCGGCTGGCCCTCCCCCCGGCAGGCGCTGGACGCCGCGCGCAGATTCTTCTTCGGGTCGACGCCGCTGGAAGTGCTGAGCGCTCTGCAGGTTCCCGCCGAGACGGGCTTCCGCATGCTCCACTCCTCCCCGCTGCTGGCCGGGGTGCGACAGGCGCGCGGGTGCAAGCGCGGATGGGGGAGGGCGACGGCTGCGATGGCAGAGGCGGCGGCAACGACGACCACGAGGAGGAGGAGGAGGAGCAGGAGGAGGAGCAGGAGCAGGAGGAGGAGCAGGGGGGCCGCATACGGAAGACGCGGACGTGGGCAGGCGCTCGGGTGGCAGCACTCCCCGGAGAACCGGGGCGAGGGGACCTCGCGGCCCACCGGCAACCAGTTCACCTGGGCGGGATGGATCGACGAGGTCGTGGACCTCCTCTCCCTCCTCCTCCTCCTCCTCCTCCTCCTCCTCCTCCTCCTTGCTCCCCGCCTTCCCCCTTCCACCGCGCCCCCCTTGTTTCCTCCTCGGACTCCCTCCCGAGCCTCTCCCGGAGCGCTGGCACGAGCGAAGTGCGCTCTGCTGGGGCGGTCTTCGTGATGACGTCTTCGTTCCAGTATGTTTTATCAGGAGGGGAAAAAACACACAGACACAATTAATCGTCGATTCCACAGAAAATATGGGAAAATATGGGAAGTGAGGGGGAAGACAAAAACCCAGAAAATATGGGAAAATATGAGGAAAATGTTTATTTGTGTATATTTATTTGTGTGTCCCAGGGCCCCTTCAGAAGTTTTGTTGACGGTTCCCGGGCCCGGTGAGGGCCCCGCGATCCCGGAAGCGGAGAAGCGAGGCCAGGTTCCTTTGCTCCAGGGCCCTCCCTTTTTCCGTCACGGTGGAAGGGGATCGAGGAGGAACAAATGTGTAAACGTACAGGGAAGACGCTGAAGCAAGTAAGAGGGGTTTGGTTTTCCGCGCCTCCTGACATTTCTTCAAGTGAGGAAAGACCACCCGAACCCGACACCTGGCGTCTACTAAACGGCCCTGGGCGTCTCCTAAACAGCCCTGCCCTGTTCGATTCCTTCTGTGGGTGCTTTTGCGAATCGGGGTAATCGTTATGAGGAAGATTCTTTGCCCTCCTATTTCTGCTGGGGGAACTTGTTTGTGGCCGAGGCTCACTGTGGCCAGAGAATTGTCTTCACATTCCTTACCCGGCCTTCCTGATGGTAGCCCGACGACTGTATCCTTTCGCAGTGCGTGCCGATCTTGGATTTGCCCTGCCCTCAGTGGGCCCTGGAAACGACAGGGTAGTTTTTGTCACCGGTTGCGTTTTGCCGTTCTGGTTGCCGGCTCCGGCGCCCTTCTTTTACCGGTTGCTGGTTCCGGCTCCGGTTCCAATCCTGGAGCCGTTCGTTTTCCCGTGCTCATTTTCCAGAGACGTTTTTTCGGAAACGGTAAAAAAGCCCCTGCCGTTTCCGGGGCCCACTGAGGCCCTGCCCCCCCCCCCCCTGGCGGCACATCCGGCGCTGCCCTGGGCATGCTCCGCGCGCCCAGCGCGCCCCATGGAGTTTTGGTGGCAGTGGTCCATTTTGCCTTCACGAGTGCCTGAGATCGTGCTGGTTCTGCTGTCGGGCCTTTGCCGGCTGTTCGGGTCGGGTCGGGTCGGGCGAAGCGGGAGGGTGGGGAACGAATGGGCTTCGAGGTCTGCGGGCGTGTTCGTCGGTTGTCGGCGCTTGGGTGTCGATGCGGGAATGTCGGCGGTTCCTGGCGATTGGTTCTCGCTGACAGATCGGCGAGAACCACGATCGCCGATATGTCGGCGATGTGGCGATTCGCTGGCCCGAAGCATTCCGAACAGCCGCCAGGCCCGAGTTATGACCCGACGGCCAGGCGACGAGCATCGCGTCGTTCCGAAGGGGGTGAGTGGGGAAAGGGGATGTGCGAAGTCCGTAGCAGGCAGCAGGTGTCGGCCCTGCCGTTGTGCGCCTTCCCAAAGAAAATAGTCTTGGGAATATGTTGTAAATGCTATTTCTGAAGATGTTTGAGCATGTTAGGAGTATGTTCTATTATTCGCCCCAAACCCGCCAGTACGAGGACAAGGCAAAACAACATCGAATAATCAAAGACGACATAGACAATGTTTTGGCGCTCCGCGCGGATGTCTCGGATCTGCGCTGGGCCTCTCTTGGCGGCGCCTCCGGCTCCGACACTGGCGCCACCGAGGACCGTCGAGGACGAGTTTCTTTAGAGGACCATCGAACCCACGAGGACCGTCCGAGAAACCCACGAGGACCGTCGAGGACGAGTTTCTTTAGAACAGTCCTAGCTTCGCAGGGGTACCCTCATTTTCTTTTTGCCTGGGCTCTCCACCATGGACTGGTGCTCTTCTCGGGTAGTTCTCGCCGTGGGGCCTTCGGCGGAGGGGCTCGTGCTCTTGACCGGCGTTTTTCAGGAGGGAAAAGCACAGACACACAATTAACCGTCGATCCCCCAGAAAATATACGAAACTATTGGAAAGTGGGGGAAGACGAAAACCCTGAAACGATTGGAAAATATGGGGACTCCTGTCATCTGTGGCTATTTCTTTGTGTGTCCCAGGGCCCCTTCAGTTCTTGCGGCCATGCTTCGACCGTATGTCGGCGCCTCTTGCGCCCGGAGGCGACGGGGGATTCATTTACGCGAGCCGATTCGCTACATCAGGGCTCGTTTCGATTCCTCCGATTCGGTTCGATTCGCCTTCGATGGAGTCCGATTCGATTCGACTTCGGATTCCGATTCGGATTCCGATTTCTCAATGAGGCCTTACTGATCTGCCGATGTCCGCCGAGTCGACTCCTCCCGACTTGTTTGTCGATTTCGGCCGATCCGATTGCTTCCGATCGCCGAGTCGAATGATCGATTCGATTCTGCGCTCTCCTGCAACAGTCAACGCGCCCAGTGATTGAGGACGCGCACCTTCACCTGCGGTGCCCTTGTGTCCTTGCCTCCGCGCCCTGTCCTCTGCGGTTTGCACGGGTCGCCCGCCGGCCGCCCCAGGAACGGACAATTTCGGGAGCCTTGAGTCGGGGGTCAATGCAAACGGGGGTCAGCCAGGGCGCCAGATCCTGCAGGATCCTGCGAAGATCCCCTCTGGCTGACCCGGGTTAGCGAGCCGCTCGTGGCAGCGAGGCGGCCGCGCGTATTGGCTGACCAGGGTTTGCGAGGATCTGCGTTGCAGTTTTGTTTTCCTGCATTGCAGTTTTTGGTTTCCTGCTGACCCGGGTCTGGATTGACCCGGGTCAGAAGATCCATCCCCGACAATTCGGCTTCTGAGGGTCTTGCGTCCTCCCCGCCCGTCTTCCAAGCGCGTGTTGGTTGTACCCATCTCTTGAGATTCCTTCCTTTGGCGGCGCCGAGCAGAGGCCATTCCGAGACGGTGTCCGCCGCAGTCTCCCTAGCAGTGTTGCCTCATCATCGTCCTCGTGTTCCTCCTCTCCTCTACCAGCAGTTTCGAAGGATGCCACACTTGGAACATCCTCTTCCGCCGCCTGCTCTTCCCCCCCCCCCCGCGAGAGGTCATGAATCTCGCGATGGGCCTCCGGCATGTCGAGGTCGTCCGCAGAGGGAAGCCACACACCACCACAGTGCCCGGTTGGGGCCATCCTGGGCCCCCAGGATGATGCACGGCCTCGGTATCGTTTTACCCATGCTCATCCCCATCCCCAGTCGAGACCCCCACCAAATTACCCCCCCAGCTGGGGATACACCCCTCGGAACCTGAAGAGAGTAGCCCATATCCCCATCTAGGGGGTAAGTCGGCCAGTGGGGCCCAGGCCACGCCGCTGGGGATGGGGATCGGCTGAACGATACTCATTGAATAAGGGACACTTGTTTTTCAAATGGGGCTTGGTCGTTCCTTAGGCTGGCATGCGTCGTTATCGGCCTCAGGCGGTAGGTATTATTTGCCGTTCCTTGTGCGTTATTCCTTGGAACTGAGGGGATCGGTTGAACGATACGCACGGCCCCCTCCTGGCCTTGGCCGCCGTGCCTCTAGAGGTCACCCCCGCGAGGGCGCGAGGGGGATGGCGCTCCGCGCGTCGCGGCCTGGGCCAGCTCGGCTGCCCTCTCCTCCTCCCCCTCCTCCTCCTCCTCCCCCTCCTCCTCTTCCTCCCCCTCCTCCTCCTCCTCCTCCTCCGCCTCCTCCTCTTCCTCCCCCTCCTCTAGAGGGACGTGCCCGACTCTTTGACTCCTCCTCCTGTACAAGAGGGACGTGCCCGACTCCAGGCCTAGCCGACGTCCCCTTGCGAGCTTCGCTTCTCGTCCTCGTCCTCCTCCTCCTCCTCCGCCTCCTCCTCCACCTCCTCCTCCTCCACCTCCTCCACCTCCTCCTCCTCCTCCTCTTCCTCCTCCATCCTCCTCCTCCTCCTCCTCCTCCATCCTCCTCCTCCTTCTCGGCGCGGCACGGCGGCGCGAAAGTGACCGCGCAGCGCGATGCGTGCCGTGCGAGCCCCGGCGGCCGAGGGCAGGGAAGGCAGGGACCCTGCTAGCCCTCGCCCTCGGCCCTACAGTTAAGTCGGGCATGTCCCTCTACAGGAGGAAGACCCAAACGTAGTTTTTCGAAAATCAGATGGGGGCGATTTGGGGGGGCACTGTTTGACCATTTAGGAGTATGTTGTTAGTGTTTTGCATGTTCCGCCCGAAATCCGCCTGTAGGGGGACATGCCCGACCTATCCCTACAGTGGGGCCGCTGAAGAAGGAGCCCTTTCCGCTGCGGAGGGGCTCAGTGTGTCCTGCTCGCTTTTTTGCAGTTTCTGTGAGGTTTGCCTGAGGCTCTCTCCTCTCCAGAAAGTCGAAGCCTTCACCCATGGAGCACGAAGGCGCCTCGTCGTTCTTCTTTCCGGGGCTCCTTGTGACCGCGGCCCGCCTGTGCCGCTGCAGGGCCCTGCCTGTGGGGCCCGGGCCTCGCTTCGACGCCGCGCCGCGCGCGTCGCGGTCTGGGCCGGAGGGGGGGGAGGAGGGGGGAGGAGGAGGAGGGGACAGCCGAAGACAGAAGAGGGAGGAGGGGGGGGGGGGGAGGGGGGGAAGAGGAGGAGAGGGAAGAGGAGGGGGAGGAGGGAGGAGGAGGGGGAGGAGGAGGAGGAGGGAGAGGAGGATGCGGAGGAGGGGGAGGGGGAGGAGGACAAGCTAGGTGCGCTCGCGTCATATCTGACATCCTACCCCTCCCTCCCATCCCTTACCATGGCGTAGATCCCCTCTCTACTCGCACAGTCGGATGTGGAGCAGGGCAATGATCCCGAAAGGGTACGCGATGCATTGTAGAGCACGGCATGGCATGGCGTCGAAGAGCACCGCAAAGCGTAGTATGTCACAGCATGGCGTGGCGTGGCGTAGTGAATAATTGCATCACAAAGCTTTGCAACGCAAAGCATGGCATCGCACAGCGGCCCCGAACATAACATTGCATTGCATGGCGTTGAAGATCAAAGCGTAGCGTGGCATAGCACGACGTGGCACTTAAGCACTGCATACCACAGCTTCAGCTGAAGGCATGGCATCGCGCAGCGGAACGCAACCTAGCATTGCATCGCATGCCGTGGCATGGCACGGGAAATGACGCCAGCGCTGCAGCGGGAACATGATTCGAAACGAGCGGAAGCGCGGAAGTGAGGCCAGCGCTGCAGCGGGAGCACGATTCGGAACGAGCGGAAGCATGCTTTCACTAAAGGGTGGTTTACTAAAGGGAGGTTTGTCCACCGCCGAACCAGCCGCCCGATCGTCTGTCACCCATACTGATGTCTTTTCGTGTGCCGGACGCGGGCTCGATGCGGGCTCGAGGCAGATTTGGCTCGGAGTCGACGCGGATTCGACGAGTCGGACATGGATTCGGCACGAGTCCGACGCGGATGGGGGCGCGACTGGACAGACGAGGTCCCCCGAAGTTGCAGGAGAGGTTGGTGGTGTAGACGTGCCTTGTGCGCAGGTGATCTTCCCCCTGGAGCCCATGGAGACGGCCGCAAAGTGCCTCGAGGCTGTCTTTGCTCACAGGCACCTCGCCTGGTGGCGGCTGAACGTTCGCACGATGGCTGCCGAGGGTCTTCGGGGCAGCAAAATATGGTGAAGGAGGGTCCGTCGGCACAGCAGCGGCTTTCCATGGCGTGGTTCGTCCTGACCGGGTCTCCGGGGAGCCTTCGTTGCCACGGTTGGAGCCGCCTCGAAAATCGGAGCAGGATTGACCCGGGGAGGGGTCCGGGGACCGTCGGAGCGGATGTGAGCGGGGCGAGAGAGCCGCCGTCGCTTCAGTCGGTCCTCTGCCGACGACGCTGGTCTTTTTTGTCGACGATGGCAGGGGTCGAGGGTGCTTTCCCGTTGCCGTGGGGGCGGGGAGTGCGAAGGGAGTCGTGAGGGGAGCCGGAGCACCCGAAAATGGCGTAAGGGCAGTCGGCGCGCATGGCGTGCATGGCAACACGACGCGCGGCAACGACGGCAGGCCCACTGGACGCGGCATGTGAAGATGTTCTCGAGCGAAGGCTCGGCCGAGGACGGGCCGAGGAGGGAAGGAGGAGGAAGAGGAGGAGGAGGAGGAGGAGGAGGAGAAGGAGGAGGAGGAGGAGGAGGAGGAGGAGGGGGAGGGGGAGGCGGAGGAGGATGAGGAGGGGGAGGAGGAGGCGGAGGAGGAGGAGGAGGAGGGGGGAGTGGCCGATTTAGGTGTATCTGGTGCGTTGCCCTCCAGCTGTCCCAGCGGTGAGAGGGTGCACCACGGACTATGAGTCATCCGTGCCATGCGGGTCGCCTGTACAGACTCTTGGAGGTCCGCGCGGGTGTCTTTGAAAGTCGTTTGACCCCCTTGCCTGGCATCGCTCGGACGTGTGCATTTTTCCTTCGGCGAGGACCATCGAGGACCATCCTGGACTATCGAGCAAAAAAACACGCACGAAACCGAACAATGCACAGGAAATGGACGTCCGAGCGACGGCGAGCCTGGCGGCGCCTCTGGCGCGCCTGCGCTCCACACTCCAGCGCCGACGTAGGAAGCTCCGCGCGGACTTTCGACAGTTTGCGTCTGTCTTGACTGGTGCTGTTATGTGAGGGGAGCTGGTGAGGGAGAAGGGAGTGGCGATGACAAGGCCGCTCTCACGTAGGGCTGGCCATGATCCGACCGGGGCGATGACCACGACAACCCTCTTGCACGGGTGGGATTTGGCTTTGCCACTTCAGTCGATCTGCGAGGCAGGGGCAGCCGTCGGTCAGCCAGTGACGAGGGTTAGGTTGCCTTGAGGTTTCTATCTCTCCTCGACGCACTCGTTCAAGCCGGCTGAATCCATCAAGGAAGACTTCTTCTTGCGCGTAGACTTCGTTGGCCCGGGCTCGTTGCTGGACATGCCGTCGGGGGAGGCCCTTTTGGAGGAAGGAGGAAGACGAAGTGCAGGACGCAGATGAAGTACGCTCATGTCTGGCTATGTTATGTTGTGAGGTCGATGGGATGCCAAACGCCTCGGGATGCTGTTCTGCGATCTGCTCATGCCATGCGACGACGCCGACGACGGTGAGCGCGACGGAGACGACAGGGACGACGACTGCGCCGAGGACGACGACGCGGGCGACGACGACGCCGACAACGAGGAGGTCGACGACAACAGCGACGAGCAGGGCGACACCGATGACGACTGTGAGGGCGACGGCTGCGACGACGATGGTACCAGGCGCGTCGGGGGTCAACGGACCCTGACGGGCGGGTCGGGCGGGTGGGCCCTCCTCCGGGCGGATCGGGGCTGGCGGAGCATCAAAGTAAAGGATTCGGGGCCTAAGAGACGGGGGTCAGTGCAAACGGGGGTCAGCCAGAGCGCCAGATCTTGCAGGATCCTGCGAAGGCCCCCTCTGGCTGACCCGGGTTAGCGAGCCGCTCGTGGCCGCGAGGCGGCCGCTCGTATTGGCTGACCCGGGTTTGCGAAGACCTGCGTTGCAGTTTTTTGTTCCTGCATTGCAGTTTTTGGTTTCCTGCTGACCCGGGTCTGGATTGACCCAGGTCAGAAGATCCCCGAAGGATATCCTCAAAGGCGACGGCGACAATGAATGCGACGACGACGGCAAGGGAAAACCACAACGGCAATGATGCACATAGCGTACGGTGACGAGGTCAAAGTGAAAGTTGGTCGTGGCAGTCATGTCTCGGAATTGTGGAACGAAGTCATGCCCTCTCCCTTCCTCCCTGATCCCGAATGCCACTAACTCGCCGCCGCAACTCGCCACCCCCAAGAGAACGGATCCCGAGAACAGTTTCGATTGGGAGCAAATCGTACAATTTATGTATTGCACTTGCGGCTGAAAGAAGCATGAAGGCCTGGGTGTTCACATTTCGCTCAGAGAGATCGGAAGACAGAGAGAGAGAGAGATAGAGACGCAAATATCTCTTTGCTATTGCTTCTCCATCTCGTCCTGGAGTCCCGGCCCTCCTTCCTCTTCTTTCTCTTCTGCCCCCATTGTGGGCGAGCGGACAAGGGGCAGGTTGGAGAACATCTTCGGAGGGAGGCCCAGAGGTTTCGGGGGAGCGCTAGGGGGCGTCGCCCTCAGCGGCATGGCGTGTCTTCTCATATGGTGCATCGGCGTTTCAAGTCGACTCCTCAACCGGATGTGTTACTGTCAGCCACGCGCAGGGGGGGGGAGGGAGGATGGCTTCCTAGAATCACCCCTACTTCTTAGAAGGCGCGGCCTTATCCATAGATGTAAGGCCTGCGCCTTCTAAGAAGCAGCCTCCTTCTAAGAAGCCATCCCCCTCCCTCCACCTTTTTGTGCGCGCCGCCAATGTTGCTTTCAGACATGATTGACATACTCATGTTATGTTGCGATCGGGTCCGCAATGCTATGCTATGCCATGCTGCGCAACACGATGTGCTGGATCAGGCAGGTGCGCATACAACGATGCGCAATCGTATTAAACGTGTGATCGTTGTTCTATCGGAAGGGACACCGTGTAAGGACATGTTATATCATGATGCGCGTTGTTAAGATGTGCCACTCGTTGTCGCACTGCGCGGCTATACCAAGACGCATGGCACGCAATGCGCTTTTATGTTATACATTGTTGCAGTACGTGTCAATGGCTTATTTTTCACACTACCGCATTTCATTGCACATGTATGCCTGTATGCTTCAGCAAGAACGGGGCGCCTAGGTCCGGTCGCGCCACGCACGTGTTCAGGAAGTCGAAGTCATTGCGCCTTGAGGGTTCTGGGATGTTCTGTGATCTGTCAGGTTCCAGGCGATTCCGGGGGGGGCTACGAAAAGGGCCAGGTGGACCTGGCCATCCGACGCCGTGAACTTGTCGCGGCGCTTCTCTCCAGAGGAGGAGGAGGAGGAGGAGGAGGAGGAGGAGGAGGAGGTGTGGAAGGAGGAGAAGGAGGAGAAGGAGGAGGACAAGTCGGAGGAGGAGGAGGAGGAGGAGGAGGAGGAGGAGGAGGAGGAGGAGGAGGAGGCCTGGATCCCTTCCCGTGGACCAGCGTCTCGTCCTGAGTCGCTTGCTCCTCGTCCTGGGGCCCGGCGAGGGCCCCCACAGGCCGGCAGCGGCCCAGCATCGCTCCCCTTGGGAGAGTTCCACGACGCGCGGCTTTGGGGTGCAGCTGCCCGGGATATTAAAGTCTGTTTCGGTGTTGCTTGCATATCCGCGGTCGCAAGCGCTCTTATCGGGCAGAATCCTGCCTTGTCTGGCATACTCCCGCTTCCTCCAGCTGGTTACTAAGCTCAACTTGGGCTGGCCTGCCTTCATGTCCCCTTCATCGGGCTTATTCGCACCTCGTCGTTTCTAGGAAGACATCCAAGCAGATGCTTCCTCAGAGGATGTCAACGCAGGAGAAGGAGGGAAAGGGGGAGGGGGATGGGAATCGGGAGGGGGAGGGGGATCAGGGAGGGCGTTGAGGAGGAGGAGGGGGAGGAGGACGGGGAGGAGGAGAGGTAGGAAGGGGAGGAAGAGAAGGGGGAGGAGGAGGAGGAGGAGGAGGAGGAGGAGGAGGAGGAGGAGGAGGGAGAAAAGGAGGAGGAGGAGGAGGAGAACGTGGACGAGGACGAGGAGGAGGCGTATGAGGGTGAGGAGGAGGTTGGATTAGGAGGAAGGAAGGAGGAGGAGGAGGAGGGGGAGGAGGTGTGGAAGCAGGAGGAGGAGGAGGCTGAAGGCTGAAAGTGAGTCAGCGCCTGCGTACAGACACTTCTCTATATTCGCAGCAAGCGAAGAACGCGGTTCAGTGTACGGAGCTGCCCCTTGACGTCGGACGACTCGCGGCCCAACCGAACCGACATGGTTCATTGGGGACACGAGGCCACATTGTCGGAACGATTGTCATTGCGCACTGGGGCCTGCCCAAAAGCCCCAGCCGTGAGTGGAAGGCCCGACCGGATTTACATGGCACCCGCCACCACCTCGCACGGAAAACGCAAATCCCTCGGAGCCAGACCACATGGGAATAGCCACCCAGGCGCCTGGCTGACGCCGCCGCCAGCAGGGCAAGGCTGAGATCGAGGGCCGTGCTACACCCAACGACGAGGCCGCGCCCAGCTCAAGTCCCGCCGAGACAGGTTTCGCAACGTCCACCCCCGGGCCAGTGCCCGCTGAGTTCCGCACAGAGACCGAGGGCCGTGCTACTCCCAACGACGGAAGCTTTGCGGCAACCCGCCGATACAGGTTTCGCCACGTCCACCCCCAGCCCATGTGGAGAAAACGACCGGTAGCCGCTCACCCAGACCGCAGATGCAATGCCCTGAACAGTTTGCCCCGAGGAAGGTGTGGCGCTGGACACCATGAGAGCAGGTGCCAGACCCCACCCACGGGGGAAGGAAGAGGAGGAGGAGGAGGAGGAGGAGGAGGAGGACGAGGACGAGGACGAGGAGGCGAAGGGTGGATCCACGCCCGCAGGCCTCCCTGACCGCCCAGCTGCGGCAGGTGTGCCCGGGCTGGCGGAAGCACTGGGGGAAGGGCCTCTTCGCGACGTCGGCGGAGGAGCGCTGGGGGAACCCAGAGGCCTTCCTCGAGGCGGCTTCGCCCATCTTCCTCTCCTCGTCGTCCGCCTCCTGCTCCTCCTCTTCCTTCTCCCTCCTCCCCTTCTCCGCCTCCTCCTCCTCCTCCTCCTCCTCCTCCTCCTCCTCCTCCTCCTCCTCCCTCCTCCTCCTCCTCCTCCTCCTCCTCCCTCCTCCTCCTTCCTCCTCCTCCTCCCTCCTCCTCTTTCTCCTCCTATCCTCCTCCTCCTCCTCCTCCTCCTCCTCCTCCTCCTGCCCCTCTTCCTCTTCCTCCTTCTCCTCCTAATCCTCCTCCCTTTCCCCGCCCCCTCCGAGGGGCACAGGGAACCCATGCCGCTACCCGTTCGTCGTCGCCACGATTGGATTTGCCTCGATAATCTGGTCTGAACGCACCCGGGGAGAGGTCCAGGGAACAGCGTTGCCACTACCTTTTCTTTCTTCCCTCTCCACAATTAAAGGATCCGTCCCTTCTCCCCTGAAGTTGTCCAGGGGATCTTCCGCCCCCTCTGCGTGTTGTCCTTTACGCAGAATTTGACAAGTTGTGTTTACCAATGTTTTTAGTTCCAATCCACGTGTTGTCGGTGCTTCAAGCAGGTGTTCCTGCTGCAGCGTGGGCCTCATTATAGGATCGGCGCGTTGATCCCGTCGGCCAGAATGGCGCTCTTGCCCAAGCGTGGGCTACTTTGCAGGAGCCGAGTCTTGCTTCATTATGGCCCCCCCCCCATCATGTCCCCTCCCCCGCCCGTCCCTGCTCCTCCCGTTCCTCCCTCCCGTGTCACTCCGGCTCCTGCTGCTACTGCTCCTCTCGCCCCAGCGTGGGCCACGGTTCCGAACGGGAGTCTCCCTCCTCGTCGTGGTCGCCCCCCCTAGTTTCTCCTCCTCTCCGCCTTCGCCTGGTCGCCCTGTCCCGCCCGATCCCTCCGCGTTTGGTTCCTGCTGCTGCTGCTGCTGCTGCTGCTGTTCGTCCTCCTCCGTTTCCTCCCCCTCATTCTCCTGCTCACCCGCCGCCTTCTCCTCCTGTGCACGCGGCTCTCCTTCGTCCGATTGCGCATAACCCGCAGATTTGTTTTTTGCTGTGTCAGTCGCAGGCTGGCTATAACAGGCGTCCCAGGATAAAGGACCACCAGCACCACTGGCGAGGGACAGGAAGGAATCGGATGTCAGGAGAGGCGGGAGCGCACCGAGCTTGTACTCGCCCCCTCTCCTCGGCGTCTTCCTTCGGAATCCATGCCAGAGAAGCGCTCCGCGACCACTGGTGTCCTCTGCGCTACGGCCTCTTGGCGCATCGCTAAGCGTATACGACCCCTCGCTGCGATGGGATTGGTTGCTCTAGGCCAAGGGAG